GGGGGGGCGGGGGTGAGGCCCCCCCCCCCCCCCCCCCCAGTGCACAAATTTTTGTGCACCAGGCCACTAGTAGAGTTTATAAAGAGAGGAGATGAGGGGGAAAAGGGGGTAGGTATAGAAGGATAAGAAGAGGTCAGGCCATGGATGATTTTGAATGTCATGCTGAGAATTTTGATATTTATTTCGTAGGGAATGAGGAAAAACTGGTAGAGTTTATAAAGAGAGGAGATGAGGGGGAAAAGGGGGTAGGTATAGAAGGATAAGAAGAGGTCAGGCCATGGATGATTTTGAATGTCATGCTGAGAATTTTGATATTTATTTCGTAGGGAATGAGGAAAAATCTAAAGGATTTTGGGCAGGTAAGACATCAATGGAAGTGGCCTTTCAGAAGATAAATGTGATAGAACTTGTTATTGAATGTTGAAAATGTAATCAAATTATTTTTACCCTTGTCTGCAGCCTGTGTTTTGTTTGGGTTCATTCCCTGTTTTTGTTGAATATTTGTTTCCATTCATCAGAAATGTTTTTTTCAGAGTTTTGTTATGAATTATACTTTCAAATTATGCATCAATTTAACCAAGTACTTATAGATCACCTATAGGTCATCTCCACATTGTGAGCTAGCCTATATAATAAAAGCCTAATATGCAAATAGACCGAAAGGAAGAACGACTGGTCGCTATGACGTGCACTGACCACCAGGAGGCAGACGCTCAACATAGGCGCTGCCCCCAGCCTGCAGGCCCCAACTGGTGGCTGTGGCGGGGGCAGGGCGGGCGGCACCAGGCCAGCCCTGCCAGTCGCCCTGCAGAGAGAGGTGACTGGCAGTGGTGGCGGGGGCCGGGGCCAGCGAGCAGGTGGTGCCAGGCCAGCCAAGACGGGTGTGAGCAGGAGCCCCGATCACCCTGCTGGTCGCCCCACAGATCAGCCCTGATCGCTGGCCAGGCCTAGGGACCCTACCCATGCATGAATTTCATGCACCAGGCCTCTAGTAGGATTTATAATAGCAATAATGAGAGACAGTGCCTGACTTCAAGGAATTAAAAATACTTTTTCCAAGGAGCCTCTAGTCACAGTGTGTAGACAATGCTAACATATACCAATAAAACAATAGCTATATAAGAGCTACATTTATTAGATGCTTGCTGTTTGCTATTCTAATGCTTTCTATGATTTAAGTCACTTTGATCCTCATAGTAGTCCTAATAAGTGAGTTATAGACTTGGGAAATGACTCAGCAAGTGGCAGATTCAGGATTCAAACTCAGAGCCAATGTCATATTTCTCATAATAAACTATACTGTGGCCAAAGGATTTTTTTTTAAGAAGGAAGAGATTAGTGACAATTCAATGGCATTCATTGAAGACTTCATGGAAGTAGGGAGAAACTAAACTGGGTCCTGGTGGAAGAGGAGATGTGCCTTGTACTGGTATTAGAATGAATGAATAAATGGGAGAGGATTCCAGCCTGCAGAGACAGTACAGAGGTGAGACATAGCCTCTAATTTAAGGAGAGTAGTTTTCCATGAGAGTTGATTTGAGAAAGTAATGGGAAACAAATTTGCATGAGTTACATGAATAC